GACCAATAATTGCACTGGGGAAACCATGTTGGACGTGTGTTACTTGAGAGATAGATGACCAGAGAAATAGAACAGCGAATGTGGAGTAGAGAACATTGCGGCTGAGAACAGGAGTGGTCTCGAGCCAAACGTCTGATACTTGATATTTGACTCTGATAAGTCATCCCTAAGAAAGACTTGATGTTAAAAAATTTAGTAACAAAATATGAAAAGATGAATTTCCTGAAAAAAATCAGTCTGCCAAACTTATACAAAAGGAAATAGACAATATGAATAAGCTCATTTCTGTTAACCAGATTGACTTAATATCAGTACCTATGATGGTTAATGTTATGTATGAGGTTGAATGAGCTTTGAGTACTCTTATTTAAATTTATTTATTCTAGGTGTGTTAGTGTTTTGCCTGCATGTATATATATTCATGCCACGTGCATTCCTGATGGCCATGATGGTTAAAAAAAGAAGAGGGTATTGGGTCCTCCAAAACGAGACTTACAGATGGTTGCCAGCCAATATGCGGGCTCTCTGCAAGGGCAGCAGGTCTCTTCAGCACTAAGCCATCCTTCCAGCCCCATCTCTCCATTGGTTTTTGCTCCTCCATGTATCTATGGGAATACTTGTAGGTAAGATTGGCATTTGAATTGGTACTTTTAGTAGACTGCCCTCCAACAGTTGAGGACCTAAATGAACAAAAGGCCAGGGGTGCAAGGGGGAGGGATTTCCCTCCCTGTTTCCTTTCCTCACAGCTAGAGCTCCAACAGCTTGCCTTCTGCCCTCAAACTTGGATTTACAAAATGATTCCCAGTTCCTCAGGCCTTTAGACATGAATTCACTGACACTGTCAGCTTTCCAGAGCCTCCTACTTGCAGCTGGAAAACCATAACCCTCCTCAGCCTCTGTCATCGGCTGAGCCTGTTCCTCATCCCTCCACCACCTCTGTATGCATGTATAGTGGCATGTGCTGAAAACACGTGACTTACAAAATATCTTTTCAAAACAGAAAGTGCCAGGCCCAAATGGATTCACTAGTACACTTCACCAAACATTTAAAACATTTATAGCAACCACATACATTCCCTTTCAGAAGATAGAAACAGAAACATGTCATGTTATGAAGCCATTGTTACCCTAATTCTAAAAATAGACAAGATATAGAAGAAGACAAAGCTAGTGGCTAATGTCTCTCATGAACATCCATGTAAAACAAATAGTATTATTGAAAAAAAAATCCAAATGTATAAAAAGAATTACGTGCCATAACCAAATGAGGTTCATCCGTGCTATGTACAGCTGACTTAGCATTTAAAAGTCAGTTCATACAACCTATCGCATGAGTAGACAGAAGAATCAATGATTGTACTAATAGATGTTAAAGGAAACCTGAGTGTGGTTGGACTCATCTATTATCCTAGTATTTTGGAAGCTGAGGCAGGAGAATTGCACATTTGAGGTCAGTTTGAGCTACAGTTTTGAGTACAGATCAACGGACGGTATAATGAGGCTCTGTCTCAAAACCAAACAAACCAAACACAAGCAACAAAGGTTCAGAAGTATTTGACATGGATAATTATGTCATCTGTGAACAGTTTTTTTTTTCTTTTTTTTTTTTTAGTCTATTGATGAGTTACAGGTCTTTGATATTAGATGACTTAAAGTTTGAAGAGAAAATTTAGCATAGACAGAGTGATTTTCCCCAATAGCTTGAGAAGATACTTTGTCCTTTTCATGCACAAGGGGGAAATGGACTGGGATGTGAGTTTGCTTAGGTGTGCATTTTTCTTAACAACTAAGAAAAATAATAAATTGAGAAACCCAAACCTTCTTCATTCATTATGGATCTGTCGCATGCCTGTTTCCTTAGGCTGCTCTTGTGAAGTCTTAAGAATGCCGTACCTCCTGGGGGCAATCAGTTCTTGCAATCACTAGAATAATGTGTCACAACTAGAAGTCACACACGTTAAGGCATTTAATAATGAGTTGAGGAGTTTCTGTTGTTAAAATGTAGCTAAAGCGGTGGTTCTCAGCCTTCCTAATACTGCAATTTTTAAATGCAGTTCATCATGCTGTGGTGGCCCCCCCCAACCATAAAATTATTCTGGTTCTGGTTGTGACGGCTAACTGTTAGCTACTGTTATGAATTGTAATGTAAATATCTGATATACAGTATAGCTGATATGCTTACCTCCAGAGGGGTCGAGACCCACAGGTTGAGAACCACTGATGTAAAGGCAGCATGAGTTGATGAGATGATCCAGTAGGTCAGGGTCCTTAGGTTAATGGCTGGATAAGATGGCATCCCGGAGGCCGTTCGCCACCCAGTGCAGACAGCCTGTGGCCTTTCAGACACAACTTTGGAAAGAACCAGCAGCCACCTTAGTGTTATACATGTCGTGGGAATGACCTATTCTGCCTGAACAAACCTGATTTTCTATTCCCGGCTCAATAACTAGATAGCTAATCTTTGTATTTCCTTTCTTTGTTGAGCTAGCTTTTGCATTTAGCAATTATCCATTCCTTCTACGAACTGAAACTAATTAAGTCTAGACGTTGGGCCGAAGGATGGACAGTTTCATTGGTGAATTACTTTTAGATCTTACTCCCACATTAGAGTGAAGGCAGCCCTTCTAGAGGTACAGTGTGCATAGGTGTTTTAATCTCCCTGGGACTGACTGCTCTCTGCTTAACCCTTCCCTCTTGAGGTTCTGTGGTACAGTGGATAAAGAATGAATAGCACGAGGTTTGGGTTAGAGTCTTGGCTTTGACAAATTTCTTGAATTATTTTATGCAAGGTATTTAATTACTTACTTTCTGAGTGTACAAAATGAAGGGAAAAAAAAACCCTAATACTGGTGTCCATATACCTCCTAAGAATATTGAAGATAATATATGAAAAACTGCTGGTCTTCAAGAAAAAGGATTAAAAACATTCTTAGGCCCAGGGTTCACTGTCAACATGTCAGCTACACATATGGCACTGGAAAAGCCTCCTAGGTTTTTACATAGCTACAGAGTCTGTTCAAGTCTCAGGAGACTTTTCCTTGCTTCTGAATGGTATTCATGTGTGGTTTTGTGTCTGGCTGCTGGATGTCTTTTCAGTGGTGCAAATTGCCTGACAGCTGTTTTAGCTTTTCAAGCTTCTGGTCAACTCAAGAGTACAATATCTTTTCCCTATGTTGCCAGAGTAGCTCTAGGGAAGATTGTAAAACTGTGTGTGTGTGTGTGTGTGTGTGTGTGTGTTTGCAATGCTGAAAAATCTTTTTTCTTTTCCTTGTGGTAATTTAACAGATAATTCTGCTTGACATTTTCCATTGGTACCTTGTATGTTCTGTGTTACCTGATTCACCTTGCTTGAATAGGGAGCAAAGGTTAGCCCCTCCCCTACAAGTAATTTTGTAAGGTTTTCTAGGGCATCTTTCCTTTTTTAAAATGTTCTTTAAAGTTCATGGCACTTTTAAGTTTAACTTAGCTTTTTAAAGTTCTTATCACTTCCTCTTGAACCAAGGTGGCTCTCCTCAGTAAAACAGGACCCGTGGCTCTGCTGTGCTGTGTGAAACTCTGCTCTTCTGGATTATCTGTTTCCTGAGCAGCACCTCAGCACACAGGTCCCCTCTTTCCTTACTTTCCAGGTTGTCTGAGAAGGTATTAGCTTGTGAAAGCCTTATTGTGATTCAAAAATGCTGTTTTCAGAGGTTCTTCTCTCTGTGATTTCAAGTATTCACAAAGATCTGGAGATCTTTGTTTCCTGTAGATAAGTGAATTCTACCTTGCTGTTTCCTTTCAAGATCCTTGAGTTCTGCATCTGCTTCGATCCCCTGCTGGGTGGGGTCTTTCAGAGGACATCTATGGTAGGCTCCCATCCTGTCCCCTCTCTTCAGCCACTTCCGGTGTCTATTCTAGTTGCCCTTCTGAATGAGAATTAAGCATCCTCCGTAGGATGCTTGATTGCTACTTAGCTTCTTTAGGTCTGTGGGTTGTAGTATGGTTATCCTGTATTATATGGCTAATATCAGTTTATAAGTGAATATACACCATGTGTGTCTTCCTGGGTCTGGGTTACCTCACTCAGGATGGTCTTTTCCAGATCCATCTATTTGTCTGCAAATTTCATGATTTCCTTGTCTTTAATAGCTGTATATAGTATTCCATTGTGTAAATGTACCACAATTTCTTTATCCATTCTTTGGTTGAAGGACATCTGGGTTGTTCCCAGTTTCTGGCTATTACGAATAAAGCCACTGTGAACACAGTTGAGCAAATGTCCTTATTGTATGGTGGAGCATCTTTTGGGTATATGCCTAGGAGTGGTATAGCTGGGACTTGAGGTAGAGCTGTTCCCAATTTTCTGGGAAAGCGCCAGATTGATTTCCAAAGTGGTTATACAAGTTTGCATTCCTACTAGCAATGGAGGAGTATTCATTCCCCTTGCTTCACATCCTCTCCAGCATGTGCTGACACTTGAGTTTGATCTTAGCCATTCTGATGGGTATAAGATGGAATCTCAGAGTCATTTTGATTTGCGTTTTCCTGATGACTAAGGATGTTGAGCATTTCTTTAAGTGCTTCTCAGCCATTCAGTATTCCTCTGTTAAGAATTCCCTGTTTAGCTCTGTATGTCATTTTGGGTAGAGGGCAGGGAATCTTATGAAAGAAGGGGGGGTAGATAGACCCAGAGGGACAGGAGTTCTACAAAGAGAGCAACAGAGCCAAATATCTGGGCCTAGGGACCCTTACAGAGACTGATGCACCAAGCAAGGACCAGGCATGGAGAGGACCTAGATGCCCTGCTAATATTTAGCGGATAGCCAGCTCACTAACTTAAAAAATACCATACAGCTGTATCTTAAAAAACAAAACAAAACAAAAAACCTTTTAATTAATTCTTTGTGAATTTCACATCATGCACCCCAATGCCAGTTATCTTCCCCTCCCTCCATATCAACCCTCTGCTCTTGCAACCTCCCCCCCAAAAAAAAACAAGTACTAAAATTTTTTTTTTTTTTTTTTAGTTTATAATGATGCTTTATACATAGCTATACACATATGTACAAACAATTCAGAAGGCTAGAGAAGTTAACTCCAAATTTAGAAGTCTTGGAGGTACTACAAATTATACTGGGCTCCAACCAGTGATTAAAGTTGAGGTAACAGCATTTGGACTTGGCCTTAACATTGCACAGGGGGAGGGGAGAGTATTAAGGCCAAGAGTCAAAGCTTCGCATTCCGTAATTAATAGTGGTAAAATAAAGCACTCCTGGATTAAATTAAATAAGACAAGAACAGGACACGATAAGAAAGAAACCTCTAGGATTCTACTATTCCCAGGTTTTTTGCAATGGTACAACTGGTGCTGATCCCAGGGTCGTCTGTCATTGTGTCAGACTTTGATAGAAAAGGATGACCCACAGGAACAGCCTTGCTGGGCTTGAGGGTTATTCAACACTTGAAATGAGCTTTGGATAAGTTCTTGGCTGAAGTCCACCTGGGCCCCGTTCACGAAGGCCAAGCTATCAGAATCAACCACCACTCTTGCCCCGCCCTGTTCAAATACCCTGTCGTCGGGGTTAATAGCTGTATCCATTGAAAATTTGTATTGGAATCCGGAGCATCCGCCTCCGTCCACTTGCAGCCTGAGGAATTCTGACCCTTCGGTGATTTCCAGAAGCCTCTGGACGCAGCTGTCTGTGAGTTGGATCTGTCCCTCGCCAGCATCTGGAATGGAGGACGTCGCTTCCCAGCGAGTCAAAAGCCCGGGAGAGGCCGCGGCGAGCCTGCCCCGGCGCCAGGGAATGACCGCCCGGAACGCCGCGGCAGTTAGGGACAGGGTTTTGGCGGCCGCCATCTTGCTCCGTAAGCTCCGCCTCTAAAATTTTAAAAATTTAAAACCAAACCAAAACAACAACAACAACAACAACAAAATCTTGCCTTGGCAGCTGCAGTATTCCATGGTGTGTCACACAAATATACCCTTTTGCTCAAACAGTTTTATTTGCAAATATTCATTGCAAGAACTCATTGGTCAGCTTCACGGACTCTGGCTTCTGCTACGCCATCAATGCTAGGATACCCTGCTGTGTCACGAAGATGCCACAGCTTTGGTGGTAGACTGGCCCCTTCAGTGCTCCAGCAGTTCACAGATGGGTTAGATGGTGGGGTGGGCCAACTCAAAGCCCTGGATCTGGGCCTGGGTAGTAGCTGAGATGGTCAGCCTGCCAGCTCTCCTGCACCTGTGCCACCAGGGCCAACTCTCTCACTTTTCCCAGGTGAGGGACATGGAAAGCTTTCTTGCCTGAGGCAGCTGACAAGGGCCAGAACCAGCTCTTTTGGTGTTCATGCCTTTGGGGCCAGCTCTCCCACACCCCTGCCACCAGGGCCGGCTCTCCAGCACTACCCTGGTGAGGGGCAGGGTTGTATCTCCCATTCTCATGCCGTCAGGCCCACTTACCCACACTCCTGCCACCAGGGCCAGTTCCACAGTGCTGCCCAGGCAAGGTGCGGGGAAGGGACAGGGACATCTTTCCTGAATCCTGTAGCTGGCTAGGAGTAGGTCCAGCTCTCTTGTGCTCATGCCATTAGGGCCACCTCTTCCTTGCCCATGCCACCAACCCAGCTCTTCTGAGCTGCCCAGGTGAGGGCCTTATAGAAGAATTTTCTCAACTGAGCCTCCCTCCTCTCTGATGACTTTAGCTTGTGTCAAGATGACATAAAACTATCCAGTATAGTAGCATTCCTTACATTTTACCACACACACACATACACACACACACACCTCTCTTCAAAGGATTTGCTAGTTGATAGGACTCAGATATATTTCCAAACCATTTACATGTTTAGAGAGAAAAGGTATTTTGCCTCAGAGTTTGTTCAGAAGCCTAAGAGCCCACTGGGCACTCTACCACTTCATACCACTGACCAGAAATCCAACACACAAACAAAAATTATTAAACCTTTTTTTTTTTTAAGAAGTTGTTTTCTTTGTAACTCAACTGCCTGTCAACAACAAAGTGGCTGAATATGTTGGTTATATTCCTCAACAGAACAGTACACAGAAATAAAATGAACTTCGGCATATTAATACTTGGGGACATCTTGCCAAAACAAGCAAGCAAACAAATAAAAACTTGATCAGGTGCAGCCAATATACAGAAAACTATATAATATGGTTCTATGTAGTTGAAGTTCAAAAAGGGTGATCATAAAAGTCAGAATAGTAGCTACTGTATTGGGAGAGGAGAGTGACTTGAAGGGTTCTTCAGGAGGCTTGCAGGATTATGGTAACTTATTTTTCTAGCTATCTGTTGGTTGCCCAAGTGCGCTCTTCATAAAGTATTATTGAGACATGTATGTTCAATATGTGCACCTTTAGTTATGTCTGTTATCTTTTAAAAGCTTTATATTAAAAATGAAATCTTAGTTTGTTTATTAGACTTATTTATGTTGATAGTCTTTCTTGCTATTGAATCACTTTAAGAAACCTTTATCCATTACTTGTGTCTCCTGATTATAATGAGCATTAAAATTGTATTTGCTTTACTGTATAATTTTCTAATACTAGTATTTAGAGCTATAAAATTGCTTTTAAATATTACGTTAGTTGCATCTCAGATGCCTCTGGGATTTCGGAAATACACCAAATGCCCAACTAAAAATTTAAATGTACTAAGAGGGTTTTGTATAACAAAATGATAAAGGCTCTTATTAACTTTCGAGCACTTATAACATAGACCCGAATTAACTTCACTTTGTGTTGGAATGTATCATCATGGCTTAATTGATGCTTAAGTCCAAATTACAGATGCGCATAAAAGTTTATGAGGTAACCCAATGCATAGAAATCCAACTAAATTTTAATTAGGAATAAACTAAGTTTAAAGGAAATTAACCTATTACAAATAAATTTGTCTTTCTACACCACTAGAATTATTCATTTGCTTAAACCTCCTAAACGGTGATGGTATCCAGACTACCCCGCAGCCCACAGTCAGCACAGGAGCTCTGACCCAGTGAGCGGTAAATTAGCATCAGATTAGATACTTGGCATCTGCAGTTGACCCTCACGCCCTCCTGATTACATGAGTTAATGCTGCCCTAGATAGAGCCATCAGGACTTGACACCGTGGGTAAGACCTATTTAGAGAGGGCATGGTATTCCTAGTTAACAGCTCTGTTCTACTTAGTCTCAAAGTCTGAGAGACTGAGTAGACTTCACAATTAGTATAATTGCTGTTTTTATTTTGTTTTCCTGGGACAGGGTCTTGAGTAGCCCAGGCAGGCTTTAAGCTTGTGGTTCATATGCAGCTGAGGATGAACTTGAATTCCTGATCCCTCCTCCTTACCAGTGCCAGGGTCACAGGTGTTTCCCGCCACACCTAGCTTGATTACCATGATCATAACGTGTTGATCCAACTATCTCGGTCCATATTCTCAATACTAAGGCAGTTCCTGGCTCCATTTGATCCATAGCTGGGTGGCATTAGCCAGTACAGATTTAGCCAGTTCCAGCAGCCTGTCAGTTGCAGTCTTCTGTCTTTAAAGAAACATAATATACATCTTTCCACCCGTCCAGAGGGGTCTCCATAAGCCTTGCCTGTTGTGAATCTCTGTGGCATGGTCCTAACCATACCGGAATTCCTCCAGAAGCACAGGTATGGCACCACCCTGTTGACTTTGGCTTCATTTGACCTACTTGTCCAGGATCTCCTAATACTCACCAAGGCCAGCAGTCAACACCTACTGCATGATGCAGGAACTTGGTACTTTTTGCTAAGTGACTGAAAGTTATTTGGAAAGCAGAAAGCCACTGTATCTGGATACTGCCGAGAAACAGCTAATAGCCCTCCCAACAGCAGCAAGTTACAGCAGTCCTAACTCCTTCCAGACCTTTTGGGTCTGGATGGTTGATGTTGGAAAATGTGTGTGTGTGTGTGTGTGTGTGTGTGTGTATGTATATGTTATATATATACATATATAATATGTAATTCATATAATACATATGAATACATATGAATATCATATACATATATAATATGATGTAATTCATATAATACATATGAATATATATGTATATGTTATATATATACATATATAACATATACATATATATTCATATATACATATACATATATACACATATATATACATATATATACGTATATATATGTGTATATATATTACTGTTTCCTCTCTTCTGCCACTTCCAAAGTCTATCCTGTTTGCCTTATAAATGAGAATTAAGCGGTCCTCCCTAGGGTCCTCCTTGTTGTTTAGCTTCTTTAGGTCTGTAGATTTTAGTATGTTTATCCTATGTTATATGTCTAATATCTGCTTAAAAGTGAGTATACACCATGAGTGTCTTTCTAGTTCTGGGTTACCTCACTCAGGATGGTCTTTTCTAGTTCCATCCATTTGCCTGCAAATTTTATGATTTCCTTGTTTTTAATAGCTGACTAGTATTCCATTGTGTAAATATACCACAATTTCTGTATCCATTCTTCTCTTGAAGGACATCTAGGTTGTTTCTAGATTCTGGCTATTAGAGTAGAGCTGCTGTGAATAAAGCTGCTTATTGTGTGGTGGAGTATATTTTGGATATATGCCTAGGAGTGGTTTAGGTGGGTCTTGAGTAGCACTATTCCCAGTTTTCTCAGAAAGTGCCAGATTGCTTTCCAAAGTAGTTGTACAGGTTTACATTTCCACCAGCAATAGAGGAGGATTTCCCTTTCTCTACAACCTCTCCAGCATGTGTTGCCAATTGAGTTTTTGATGTTAGCCATTCTGATGGGTGTAAGATGGAATCTCAGAGTTGTTTTAATTTGCATCTCCCCGATGACCAAGGAGCATTTCTTGAGCATTTCTTTTTAAGTGTTTCTCTGCCATTCGATATTCTTCTGTTGAGAATTCTGTTTAGCTCTGTACCCCATTTTTCAATTGGATTATTTGTTTTTTTGGTGTTTAATTTCTTGAGTCTTTATATATTCTAAACATTAGCCCTCTTGTCAGATGTAGGGTTGGTGAAGATCTTTTCCCAATAGGCTGTTTTGTTCTGACGACAGTGTCGTTTGCTTTACAGACGCTTTTCAGTTTCATGAGCTCCCCTTTATTAATTGTTGATCTTAGAGCCTGCACTGTTGGTGTTCTGTTTATGGAGTTGTCTCCTGTACCAATGAGATCAAAGCAATTTTTTATTCTAATAGATTTATTGTGCCTGTTTCTTTGTTGAGGTCTTTGATCCACTTGGACTTCAGTTTTGTGCAGGGTGATAAGTATGTCTCTATTTACATTTTTCTACATGTAGACATCTAGTTAGACCAGCCCATTTGTTGAAGATGCTATCTATCTTCATTTTTCCATCATATGGTTTTGTCTTTTGTGTGTGTCAAAAATTAGGTGTCCATAGGTTTGTGTGTTTATTTCTAGGTCTTTGATTCCATTCCATTGACCCACCAGTCTGTTTATATGTAAGTACCATGTAGTTTTTATTACTGTTGCTCTATACTACAGCTAGAGATCATGGATGAAAATACCTCCAGAAGATCTTTTATTATACAGTATTGTCTTAGCTATTCTGTTTTTATTGTTGTTGTTGTTGTTCCATATGATGTTGAGAATTGTTTTTTCAAGGTCTGTAAAGAATTGCATTGGTATTTTGATGGGAATTGCTTTGAATCTGTAGATTGCCTTTGGTAGGATGGTCATTTTTACCATGTTAATCCTATCCATCCATTGTTGCTGTTTCTTATTCTACTGGTTTTATTTCTCCTCCTCCTATTCTTCTTCCTCCCTCCCCTCCCCTCTTCCTCTTCTTTTCTCATTTTCCTGCTCTTCTTCCTCCTCCCTCTCCTCCTTTCCCTCCCCTT